CTGACTTCCATCCTGAGATCAGAAGCAGCCCCTGTTATAGGGGGCAGAGAATGTGCCACCACTACAGGGTTGCTGCATTCACAGGGCATGTCTACACTAGGAAACTATTTCGAAATAACTAAAATCAATTTTATTTTAAAACTCCCAGAATAACACAATCGAACTAGCGTGTCCTTAGTACAGGGAAGCCTCGAAATTAGGCAGAGGCAGGCTCCCTTAATGTGGACACACTCCCTCAACTTAGAGCCCCATGAAGCACTGGGGAATAATTAGTTCAAACGACTATTTTGGAATTAGCGTTACTCCTCACGGAAAGCAGGAGTACAGATTTTGAAATAAGTGGCCCAGTATTTTGAAATAGTGTGGTCGCTCTACTTGTTAATGCGACCTAAGAGGGGTTATTTTAAATAAAGCCCCTATGTAGACCAGGGCATAGACTTGAAGGCCAGACTGGACCGTTGTGACCATCTAATCTGACCTTCTGTTCTAGGCTGGAGAACACCCCCTGAATACCTGTATCAGCATTTCTCAAATTGGGGTCCACAAACCCTGGGGTCTGTGAGGGTACTACAAGGATTCAGTAGCCCCACTGACCACCTTCTCCCTCCCCCCTGCACACCGGACCCACTGTTCTGTGACATGCATGAAGTGCTATGGGGGGAAGAGCAGAGATGGGGTGTGTGTGAGGGTGGGGCAGAAAGAGGTTTGGGGCAGAGGTGGGGCTTTGGGGGGAAGGTAAAGTGAGGACTGGAGCTGAACAGTGGGTGGGGCTTGGCACTATGAACATTTTTAAATCCAAATGGGGGTCATTGGGTTGCTACAAGCTGAGACCCACTGAATTATATAATGATTCTAAAGCTCCCTGCTTGTCCAAACAGCAGTGCCCTGTGAAGGTTATTGCTGGGACCTAATACAAAGGGCCCTGAGTAAGGCTAGGAGATAAACCACTCCCAAGGCATCCCTCAAAAGCTGCTTTTGTCTCCTCCCTTTCCGCACGGGGCCCCTCAGGTTGGCTTTGTTATTTATACACAAAGGCTGTGTCTAGACTGGCCAGTTTTTCTGGAAAATCAACTGCTTTTCCGGAAAAACTTGCCAACAGTCTACACTGGCCGCTTGAATTTCCACAAAAGCACTGACTTCCTACTGTCTGAAATCAGTGCTTTTTGCGGAAATACTATGCTGCTCCCGTTCGGACAAAAGTCCCTTTTGCGCAAAGCTTTTGAGCAAAAGGGCCAGTGTAGACAGCTCAGATTTGTTTTCCGCAAAAAAGCCCCGATCGTGAAACTGGCGATCGCGGCTTTTTTGCGGAAAAGCGCATCTAGATTGGCACGGACGCTTTTCCACAAAAAGTGCTTTTGCGGAAAAGCGTCCGTGCCAATCTAGACGCTCTTTTCCGAAAATGCTTTTAACAGAAAACTTTTCCATTAAAAGCATTTCCGGAAAATCATGCCAGTCTAGACGTAGCCTAAGTGCTGAGGGACCACACTGTGGAGAGAGACAGCTGCTGCCCCTTGCGTTCATTAGTCACTGGAGTCTCAAACACTCTTCAGGCTCCTCCACTGGAAGGGTCGGGCTGTTTGCTCCGGGGTGGCAGGCATGCTAAGTTGATAGCAATCAGCTCAGCTGTTTCTCTTGGCGCTCTGCACTGAGCATGTGGGCCGGGAATATCCAGGAAGGGCTAATCTGCTCTTTTAATCTACCAGCTGAATTCCTGGCCCACTGGGAAGTGGGCAAAACTGTTGTCTTTGCTGGCTTTTATGGCAATGCTGGAGGCGTTGTCCCGGCACAGCTGAATTCATTAACCCTGGCTCTGTTGCCCTCGGGGATGGGCTCTTCTTTGATGTACCAGGCATTGCTCTGTGCCACAAAGGTATTTCCAATCGTCTGGGATTTGCAACCATAATGCTCAGATTTTACCCCCGGTGGTTCTCTCAGCTGGTTTGTGTCCAGATTTTTTTGTGCTCCAACGTTGTTGGCTCTCACGTGTCTCGCTTCGAGTACGGGTGGCCTCGGGGCAAGAAGAGGTGCAGCGGGAGTGACAGTGTGACAGGATAAGACTAAAGTGTGGCACCTACTCTGGAGCTGAGAGTCGGGCCAGCCTGGCACCACATCACCCAAGGAGCTCTGAACAGATTATGCACCCAGCGCTAGGCTGGCTCAAAGTGCAGCTCCCAGGTGCACTGCCCTTCCTGGCTCCTGCTAGCACAGCTGGGTGGGGGAAGAGGGGAGTCAATACAGTCCCTGTGCTCCTCACACTCCAGGGGCTGCTACTGCACATGGCCCCTGAGCGGCCACACAAGGGCAGCCCAAAGACTCTGTCAGGACTGGCCTTACCATGAGGCAAACTGAGGCGGCCGCCTCAGGTGCCAGACTGGGGGCGAGGGCGCCACTAGGACCCAGAGTGTAGAAAATTGTCTGCTGCTGGTGCCTATGTAGGTAGCAGAGCAGTACCAGGAGAGGAGTAGAACAGGAAGGAGGCAGAATTGAGACTTTTCAAAGTTTTGGCCCAAGCGAGGGCGCGTCATTTGAGCTCCCCGCCTCAGATGCCAAAATGTTGTGGGCCGGCCCTGGACTCTGTCAAGGGCAGGTACCGTCAACAAAGGGACTGGGTCTACTGGAAGCATGACCGCTGCCCTGTGGAGCTCTCCAGAACGGCCCCCGGAGCCTGCTGGCTCTGGCCAGAGCTGGTCAGCAACAAGCCAGTTCTGTCTGGAGGATGGAGAAGCAAGGGCCACGTCCCAGCTCTTAGCACTCATTCTAATAAGGACCATGGGTGTAAGTTTCCGTGGGGATGACATGTTCCTGGCTGCTGGCCCCTGTGGTCCTCTCGCCCTTGTTGGCAGAACTTGCAGCTTTCAGGCTAATTTCCCTCCCCACCCCCCCTTCAGAGGCGATCAAGTGGGGAGGGAAGATGGGTTGATGGATTGGCATGAAATCTGCAGTGAAGACTGGCAAGCCATGAAATCCAAACTTCCAGTACTGGGTCTGGCTCAGTGACTCCGTTGATTCTGGAGCGAAGTTGGCAGGACAAACACACGGCCAAATCCTGCCCCCATTGGTGCAGGTGTAAATCTAGACAATCCCCAGCAGCCTCCCAAGGGTTACTCAACAGCATGTCATTGTAAACAGGCACAGGGGGAGTTGGTGTCCTGCTGCAGCAGACAGCAGGTGGGACATGAAATATATAAAAACTTCTGCTGCATTGCACACTAGAACCACGTGGTGGCGCTCTGTCTTCAAATTTAGCTCAAACTGCTCAGGAATTAAAAAGGCTTGGAGGTTGGAGAAGGAACAAGCCAGTAGCAGATTAAACTGCTCAGGATTAAAGCAAGCAGTGTAGGTGTTCTCTTGTGCTTATTCTTTCACATAAAGGTTAGACTGTGCTGCTCAGGTCTCTCTTTTTTTGCACCGTAGGTGTTGAAAAACTGGTCAGTCCCAGAGCACAGAAAAAAGTTTTTTTTTTGGTCCTTTTAACACATGTTTTGCAAAAGAGAATTTTTTCTGGAAGGGTGGGAGGAGAAAGGGTTGGATGGAGTCTTATGTGTAACGAGTTTTTAATCGAAGTCTCGCTTGCAAAGTGCATTCAGTGATGGTTTCGTCACTAAAAGAATCCCGTTTTCCAGTCTCTTTATTTTATTCGGTATCGCAGTGGGGCCTGCCGGTCAGGACTCCGCCTTGCAGAGTGCCATACCAGCGCAGAGCAGAAAACAGCTTGACAGAATATACCCCGTGCTGTGCCAGGAGTGTCTGTGCAGCAATAGGACCGGGCAGGGGGCAGCTGTTTGGATTTGTCGAACTGCAGGGCCGATAACGGGCCTCTTTTGGGGCTGTGGGTTGGATTCTTGCAAGTGCCGTTCAGGTGAGCGGGGCGTATATGACTTCTGTAACAGTCTGCTCTGCTGGGCCAATCAGAGCACTCCTGCCACGCCCACTCCTGTCCTCAGGCCACCTGCCACCATCTCCACGGTGGGGGAGGTGCTTGGTGCCAATATATCAGGGCTCGGGAACCTTTTGGGGGGATGCTGACCCACAGACAATCAGTCAGGGGCTGCACAAGAGTGGGGGGAGGAACTCCAAACCCTCACTGATGTGGTTTCCGACAGAGACACTCCCCACATTCCCCTCCCACACCAGAGCCTCAGGGGCCCAGGCTAGTAGATTGTGTGCTCCAGCATTGCAGGGCGGGGGCGGGAGGGAGGCTGAAGTACCAGCAAGGGCTCCCCAGTGCTGGGAGGAGGGACTGGGCCCCAGGGCTGGATCCCCTGGGCCTAAAGTTCCCCCCTCTTGCACTACATGATGGTTACGTCTAGACTGGCATGATTTTCCGCAAATGCTTTTAACGGAAAAACTTGCCAGTCTAAACGCAGCCGATCTGTACGCTGCTGGAAGAGTGCTCCTGCATCAGAGAGGAATGGGGAAGGTCTAGCTGCTTGTGGAGCAGCATCGAAAAGACAGAACACTGCTGAGAACTGGCCTCTGGCTGCGTCCTGTGATAAATGTCTGCCACCGGGTTTGTTCTGGACAGTAAACTTGGCACGTTATCGTTTCCAGGCATGGGTGTGTCTATTTAATTCTCTCCTGCTGAGATGTGGGGGCTGGCAGCAATACGTTAAGTGGAGAGACATTTTGGAAAACCTGTGCTTGTAACCTGGGGATTGTCTGCATGGGCACGAGGCCTGCCCCAGCAAAACCGGTAGTGGCTGCCCTTCCGTTTCTGGGGCCGGTGGGAGGTTGATGCTGGATCTGTTAGTCCATGGAGACCCACCCCACTGCCCTACCTTCAGCTGATCCCTTATCCTCCCTACCTTCAGCTGTTGCCTGCTCCAGCCCTCCAGGCTACTCCTGGGATGGTGGGGCTTGCTCTGGGGTTGCAGTGCAAAGGGTGGCTCCATTAAACTACCTCCCCCACCCCACTTCAACCTGCTCTTGCACCCCATAGGGCCAACTGCATCAGTTAAATCATGGCCTTCAAGGGAGCTTTCAATGTTGCCCGCAACCCAGCCTGTTGCTCGCTCTTAAAAACACCGCTCGGGTTTTAGCCAAGCAGCACCAGAGATGAACAAGCTTTTCCTCCCCACCTGCTGCCTAGCCGGTGCAGCCGTCGGGGACACTGCCCCCGCTCCAAGGCAGGGCCACGCAGCTCAGCCAGGGAACTCAGACATTTTTACTGCCATTTTATTGGACGTTCTTCCCCCCGCGGATCAGTGGGCGCTGGGGCTGCTCCAGGCGGGAGCTCTCCAGTGACTGCAGCAGGGTGCCAGCCGGCTCCTGAGGCGACACTGAGGAACAGGAGCCGGGTGAGGCTCACAGCCCCAGTGCACAGGCCCAACGCACGTGGGGGCAGAGCCAGGCTCAGCCTGCGGGCTGGGAAGAGGCTCTGGGCAAACGGGGACCCAGCCCCAGGGGCTCCGACTCAGCGTCACTTCGTCTGCGTCAGAAGTTCTCTCACTCGTAATGAGAATTATCGTGGCAGCCGGTGCTGGCAGGTCGGGCTCCCCCTACCCATGGTGGCTGCCTCCCACCCTGGCAGGACACCTCAGGCCCACCCGATTTCCCCCCTCACTGCCAGAGCG